TTCCGGGTTGACGAACGACTTGGCGCGGTACTTGCTCGCGTGTTTGTTCAAGGTCGATTCGTGCCCGTCGTTGTCGCTCGCAGAGAACCCGGACCTCGTCACGCCCGTGCCGATCCAGGGGGTGGCGCCGACGCACAACCACCACCAGCAGCAGCAGCAGCAGCAGCAGCAGCACGCACCGACGCGTTCCGGGTCGACGAGTGGTGGCAGACCACGCCCCGCGTCGTGGAGTCTTGGCGGCGGTAACGGCAACCATGTCAACAACGAGGAACAGCAACCCGACGGCCACGTCCCGATGCCGTTCCTCGCGCGCCGCCGCTCCTCAAACTTCTCTAATTTCTCGCTCTCAGCCATCACCAACTCGCTCGGCCGTGCCCTCACGGCCAGTTCCGACTCCATGTCCGAAAGCAGCGGCAGCAGCACCGACCCGCCCGCGCGGTCCTCGACCGAGACGCCCACCAACGGCGCGGCCGCATCCGCGACCGCCCCTCCATCCCCACCGCCCACCCCAGCACCCGCCCGCCGTCCCGATGCTGCCCTCGTTCGCACACACGATTGGCGCGTACGTGCGCAAATCGAGCGCACTGCGTTCGTTGGACCTGGCGGGGATCCCGCTCGGGACCGGGGGCATGGACCTGACCCCGCTCGCCGATGCGCTCGCGTACGGTCCCGACGGCCGCGGATCGACGGTGCAAGTGCTCACGCTCGACCGGTGCAAGTTGACGACCGAGGCGTTGCAAGTGCTCTGCCCCGGAATCGCGCAGTCGAACGTCTCGTCCTTGTCGTTGCGCGGGAACGCGATCGACCCAATGGGTGCGGCCGTCCTCGCCGGTCTGTTTGTCCCCGAAACGGCACTACCCGCGAGTCCACGGTACGACCCGCTGTGGCGGGACGTGGTGATGGGCAAGCGGCCGCGCGGTCTGGTCGTCCTGGACGTGAGCGATAATTCGATCGGGCGTGGGATTCGCGCACTGGGGATCGCGCTGGCCACATCGCACCACGTCAAGCATCTGCTGTTGTCGAATAACGGGATCAATGGCGGCGCGCTCGCCATGTTCTGCCAGGCCGTGAGGTCGAACCGGTCGGTCGAGCTGATCGATCTCTCGTGCAATATGTTTGGGCATGATGGGAAAGACGTCGATGCAATGGCCGCGATCGCCGAGTGGCTCGGGCAGCGCACCGAGGAACCCGAGGAGAAGGACGCC